CGCCCCAGCTCCCAGGCAAATTGAATCGAGAAGCTGGGGGATCAAACCGGTTCAAACCCCAGCTCCCAGCTCGATTCCCCCACCCCCAGTTAGATTCCCCAGCTCCATGTTCAATTCCCCAGCCACCAGTTCGATTCACCTGGGAGCTGGGGTGGGTCCACATGTCAGCCGGAGCCTGACAGCACTCAGCCACAGTGGCCCCAGCTCCCAGATAGAGCGCAGTACCCTGCTGAGCTGTGCCACGTGGCATCTGCCGTGCAGGTGTCAGATGGAGGAGGGCAATCCCCGCTGCCCCAAGCTGCGCGGGGGTGCTCTGCCACCAACATCCAGAGGCCCCATCACCGCTCCAGTAGCTGGTGAGTCCAGGACCTGTTTTCTTTTTAAAGTGCCGGGAGGCTGGGCCAAGCAGAGCAGCAGTGGGGGCTTCTCCCGCATCTCCCCCTGCCCAGGGAGAAGTAGGCACAGCCGGAGGAGCCACAGGAGAACCTGCAGCTGCCCAGCTGTGCCTGCCTCTCCCTGGCTGACCCAAATCCCCGAATCTCTCCAAATCAGTGCCAAATCTTCCCTCCATCTCACTAGGCCACACAACCTCTAGCTTATTATCTTCCTCCTGGTTCTACATATCTTCCTTGGACGGCAAGGAAGCCGGTCTCAAAAGAAGCTCTGGAGATAGGATCAGATAATCCCTGATCTGAGAAGCATGACTGCTGTACTGGGAAGAGTACTGTGCTCAGAAGTCAAGAGAGACAGAGATTCAGACTCTTCCTAAGCGAAGGGGACTTAGAACCCAGGTCTCCAGCTTGCTGGGTAAGTGCCCTAAGCATTCAGTGATTGGAGCTAAACATGGAAGGATCTTCCTTTCCCTCTGCCAAACCATGAATTAGGGTTTTTTAGCCAGGTCTCTTTTTAGAGACTTAGTCACAGGCATGCATTCAGAATGGGTATGCACATGTAGCCGTGTACCTGCCTAACCAGTGCATAGCCTACTGCACATGCTCGGTCTGTGCATGCAGACTTATAGAGGAACCTGACTGGCTATCTTTGCATGCAACACAATCGTCACCTAGAAAGATCACCACAATTTAAGCACGTGCAGAAATGCAATTCTGCCCCTGGTGGATAGAAGCAGGGGAAGATGCAGCATTTACAGTCCTTTGATTCCAGCTCATCCCAAAGTTTAAAACCACTTACCTGACAGTAGCACCGTTTCTAGTCAGGCAGTGCTGAAGGAGTTACTTGACTTCATGGCTCATTATAATCTACTTAATCCCATCTAAGGTCTTCATTCCACAAGTGTTAACAACCCTCTTCTTTTTAATGGTCTTGATGTTCCACCAATTAAGCTAGCCTTTGTTCTGCAATTCTGCTGTTAGCTGCTCCCATGAACGAAGTTCTAATTCACAGCCCTACAGATGGTTTTTAACTAGTTCCAATGACTTTCTTTTTGTTTTTGCTTCAATACAGCTCTACACTCCTAGCTTATTATTAGTTAAGCTTCTAGTTTATTTTTAACTGGAGAAAAATATGTGTTGTTTCATACATGATGACACACCTCATCATCTTCACCCCCCTTTTCAAAATTTTGATCTGCCCATGGATAGGGGGCAGGCAGTGGTATGTCTAAACTGTAACTGGAATACATGATCTCAGTCTGGATAGTCTACTTAAGCTCCCTTTAATCTAGCAAGACTAAGTAACAGAAGTGATGATGGAGCAGCAAGAGCTTCAAGCATGGGTGCTCCAAGCCTGCTGGAGACCCAGAATTTCTTTATTTAGGCAGCTAGCCTACACTTACACTCATCCTACCATGTTTCAATGCTATCATCACCTTAGCTAACTCCATGAGAACAGAGCTGTTTTGCCTTGAGTAAGGGGATGGACTAAAACATCACCTATAGTCCCTTCCAGCTGTTTTTTACGATTCCATGCCTACCTCAGCTGTACTCGTATCTCTTAGTTGTAACATAGACTCTCCCTCGGTGGAGTGTCCTTGACCCTGGAAGTTGTTTTCCTCATATCTGACACAGACAGAATTTGGTAACACCTCCCCATCCATAAAGGCCATGCTGCAAGGCTGTCTGTTTATCAAGGATTTTAATGAGGAGGAGTGGGAATAGCTAAGGTCTTAGCACTTGTGTCAGGTCAGATTTATTTTGGAAGATGTGTTTATATGAAAAATTATACATGAAGCTAAGGCATTTTTGACAGATGCAATATATAAATAGGAAAAAAAATGTGTATAAATAAACCTGATCCAGCATGTTCTGTATGTAGCAACCTGACAAAATTTTCATGTAGAGATGTGTCCGATGGGTATTAAAATGCCAAGTGTTTACGATAGCAAACCCTGCCCTAACTGCAGTAGCAAAGAGAATTGAAACACTGCCTGATGCAAAATCTGTTAATTGACATCTGCCCTGGTAGACAGGGCAGCGTTCCTCCCATTGGGTGCTGAGCTGCAGAATGTGCGACAAGCCTTAGCGTATAATTTGATAATCCTCTGAGCAGGAGAAAGCGGCACTCCAACTTACTGTTGGCAGCACTTGCTGGAGAATGTGGCATGTTTACTCGCCAGCTGTACAGCTAAACCAGACCACACAAATCTTCAGACCTCATCTCCTTAGAGATACTGCACACAAACCAGCCATCCCCTAGCACAAGCCAGTCGTCCCCTACCACATTTCCAAGAGCTCTGAAGACAGCCTCCCTTGCTGCGAACATGGAACAAACAATTGCTTGAATGCTTTTTGCCCCCCGCTGCACACCAGCTGATTCTTTTTTTTTTTATGATAACCATGGTTATCAAGCATACCAAGTTGTACTAATTAGGGGTCTGATAAGTTTAAGTTATGTGACTGAAGAGTGATTTATATATGGGACACTCACAAGGTTATAATCTCATAGGAACCCCAGAACCACAGCCTGATGTAAAAAGTATGCCATACCTTATTAGCAAATGTTCATATAAAACAAAGCAAAATGTGTGATGAGAGGGTGAGAGGGAAACACTGTCCTCCCTGCCTTGGCAACCACTGAATGTTCAGAGTCAAAAAACAGTTTTAGGGAGGAAGCTGAAATTTCTCTGGGCCCCCATCTTCCTTCTTACAAATAAATCACCATGTCTGAACACTGAAATGGTGGTCTGTCTTGCATAAATGCAATTGCAAGTTGAACTGAAATCGTGCAGTGGATTCAACACATACTGAAAAAGCAGAAAGCTCCTGCTATCTATGTGAACTAGCTGAACAGTGAAAACAGATTAAAGAAATAAGTTCTTCAATAGGCAGTAACATTGCTTTCACACCAGATTTGATGAATAAGTCCTCCCAGCGGCACTAACACCTGATATACACATTGTGTGGATTAGCAAGTTTTAGTCCAGGCAAAAGAAAAAAAAAGACATTTTTTTCCTTCTAGTTACTGCTGCAGGTATATTATCTAATGAAAACACAACAAGATTTCTCTAAGGAACGTAAAATTTGTTTGGTGTTTCCATCAAACAATTATATGTTGTTCATCCACTATCTGAGAAGCACTGAGGCATAGCCATGCCTGATTACATTCCTTCTTAGCTCCCTATCAGGCTACCCCACTGGGTGGTAAGCAGTTTCTCATCTCTCCCATATCAGAGCTTTGATGCAGGTGCACACAAAAGAGGGGTTTCTGATAACAATGCAGCCACATTTGCTTAATATCTTGATGATCCGAAATCAAAATGCCCTTGATCTTTAATACAGCCTTTCAGAATACTTCAAATTAAGGGGTAAATTTTCAAAGCAATGAAACAGGGATTTAGCTGCATGACTTCCATTAACACCTATGGGAGGTATACAACTAAATCCCCACACACTACTTTGAAAATGTACCCCTTTAAATGTCTTATTTCTAAAAGGCATTAGACTTTTCAATAACTAAGCTGCTGCCAAGAACAACAGTATCATTTTCGCTGACAATATTTGTCAGATAACTTTATTTCTATGGAAAAGTTAGTTTGGCAGAAAATACTAAAACTAAATATCTTTATAAGAGAGGAAAGCTGAGTATTTCTGAGGCTGGGGATCCTGCACTACAATGAACTGATTCTTATGCACTCCATCTTATACCACCCTGTCTCTAAAGCCAGCACAGGGGACATGGCTGACAGAAAAGTGATGTGGCATTTGGATTACTGCAGGGAAGTAATCCCTGGTGGCTGGAACAGCCTCTGGAAAAAAGGGGGCACTTATATGAACAAATCAGCACAGTACAGAGAAGCCCCAGGATCAGAGGAGCATAATGGCAGATCGAGTGAAGCAAAGTTACAGAGCGCCCCAGAACATGAAGTGGGTTTAAAAATGGCAGTAGATGGGAATAATAAAGTTTGTGAGCGCTTTGTACATTTGTAAATGACTATACAGCTTGGAAGACAGGAGAGGATCTATCCCAACATTTCTAAATTTCCTAAATAAGTACCTCATTAGTTCAGTAATGTAACTGAAAAACATGGTAGTGGTATAAGCACGTAGGGGAAATCAAAATCGGTATTGCTGTTAGGGAATGCAATAAATGACATGTTCTTTTCCCTAATGCATTTTATCATTAAAAATGTAATCTTACAAACCAAACATCAAAAGGTGTAAACAAGTTGTCAGAACAGATTCACAAGAGCCATTCTCCCCAATACAGCAGAATTTTTCAATTCAGCAAGGAATTTTGACATGTTATCTCTCAGAAACAGATAAGAATATGTGGAATTCCCATTCTAATATCCTTTATTAAATACATATTTCTTATTTAATTAAAAGACTTTGGAAGATTAGTTGTGATTCATTTGGTCAAATGGTGAATGCTAATTAAAACAACCAAGGTTGGGAAGAAGCACATTAGAAAATAATAATTCTCTGCAGTGAAAATCATAAACATGAACTGAATATTAAGGCAATGATTTTCTTTAAAGGTCAAAAAAAATAGTCCAAAAAGATTCAGTTTGTTTAGCTGTAAATATATCAAAAAATACTTACTACAATGTCTTCAGGAAATGTATCCCGACTGAAGGAACCATCATCAAACATGACTTCATAGAAGACTTGAGATGTCACTCCTATCACCCTGCAGCTGTAGTATCGTGTGTTCCTGTGTTTTGCGATGACAGTCTGCCCTACTGTGACAGCCTTCTCACATGCTTTACTTCTCTTTAAAGCAAGGAAATGCCATGCAGTCATTAAAAATACTTGGGACATTGCTCATTATGCACAAAAAAACCCAACAACACGCCCCTTCCCCCCTGAGATGCTCAGTTATGTCTTTACACTTAGTATTAAAATCTTCAAATGCAGCATATTTCCTTACTATAATGATAAAACTTTGTGTGACACATAAACATTTACATTTCATAAGAAAAAGATTAAGAAAACAAAAAACCCAACAAACTGAACAATTAAAAATATATTTCCTAAAAAGGTATAGTTTGGGAATAATTTAAATATAATAACTTTTGAACCATTCAAAAACTGAATCTATGATCACTTAAAAGCTTCTCAGCTCTAGGAGTGTAGCCATCAGACACACTAGACCAAGATGACAGTATAGCATTTTATTGAAATGGACTCTTCTCAAACCATGACTTCATATATGGCTTATAATTATTTCCTTACCGACAATATTTTATTCACTATGATGGGATCCTTGTCACAGATGCACATTCTTTTTTGTGAAGATAGTCACATTCATGCGCCAGTGTATTTTGGTAACTCATAAAAAATGGTGCGGAACACTTAATTTAAAACTGCAGATCATATTGTACATTTAAAATTATTAATCATTCATGTTATGTTATGTGGTGCATGAGTAATAAATGCTGCTTATTTTCACCTTTTCTTTCTGAATTCCCTAAAGTGTGGTATATTGTTCCAAGATGTACTGGAGAGCCATTTGAGGTCAAACTATGACAAGATTCCTCTTCACTACCTGGGAGTGCTTGATTCCTGTTTTCCGATAAATTCAAATGAAACATCCCATAACTCAGAAAATACTCAGAAATTCACACAATGCACAATTCACCTTTTAGCTAACGCGTCCCTGGATAACTACCCTGTGCACAGTGAGCTTCACCATCTGGAGAAATAAAATCAAGAGTTTCTCATCCTAATAAGATAAGGAGACCACTTTTCTCCTCCAGCTGTCAACTGGCTGTATATGATTTCTCATTGGTTCCGGTGCTTATGTACTAAAATTTATTGTGTTTTTGGCTACAGCTGGGCATCTGAACTTTTCTAACAGGAGATGTTAAAAAGCAAGGCATGACTCTCACAGTGCTAGTGAAGATCTTCTGCATTAGAAATATTTGCTGAAACACCTTGAAAATACAATATGAAAATACCAATTTCCAAATTTTCTACCACTTTTTCAAATGACTCTAACCTTTTAAAGTAGTAAAGTTTTCAATAAATGCAATAATCTGAAAAGAAAGGAACTGTAAATATCTACAAAGTGATACAAGATTAGGATGATCAGCTTCAACAATGAAGGCTGAGTTAAAGTCAATGTCTATGGTTTTTGGCAGATTTTAAAATTTTATCTGGAAATCTTTTCCACAGTTTCTCTCTTTCTTTCCCTTTTAATTTTTTAATAAACTTAGAGGCAAATTTTAAACCACAGGGGTTGTTCTGTTTATGCATGTGCAGTTTTCTGCACACTGACTTTCTTGCAAGAAATTACAGATTTTAATTATGGCCAACTAGCTTGCTCCTGGAAATTGAAACCAAAGCAAGTTCAAATGTACACCATACACCTAAAGTCTATCAGTTTCTTTTGACAGAGGACTTAATTTGGGTAAGCAAGTGAACTGTCCATGTAAATTGTTTTCATACAAATGAGGGATTGGTCTGAAATCTTCTTAGAAAGTTGAGCCTGATTATATATCTATAGCATTTTTAAGTTTACACAAAAATAATATTTAATTTGTATTAGAAATTACCTATTAAATGGCCTGTTAGCAGCTATTACTATTTGTGAATATAACCAATTTACTAAGCCTAACTGGTGAAATGAGGCAAGAAACTAGTTAACCTCTATAAGCACACTAGGCCATGTTACTCTGAAGTCAGGCAGAAAAGCAGAGTGGAGATGCACTGTATTTGCCAACCCAAGACAATTTATTTATTTTTACTGAAAAACCAGAATTTTTTTTTTACTGATGACCAAACATTTTTATTGACTTATGTTTTACATCATGTAAATGTAACCCTTCTGCCAGGCCCTGGACAAGGGCTGGGTTCAAATTTAGGTGCTTAATACCAACCATAGTAAAAAAAGGTTTGGTTATCAGTAAACATTTTGTTGATTATGATTTTAAAAAAATGTCTTGAGCTGGCAAACCCATTAGTCTGTGGCAATGGTTTCATACCAGGCTGCCCCCACCTCAGGGGTTACCTAGTCACCCAGACACCGTGATGCCTCAAAATACACCTCACACCATGCTGCTGCCCCAGTCCACCCCCCTGAGTCTTACCCCCTGCTGCCTTGCCCCAGCATGGACCCCCCAAAAGACTCCTGTCTACCTACTGTCAACCCAAAATTATTACAGGCAGGTGATGGGACACAGCAGTAGCAGCAGCACAATGCTGGGGGGTGGATATGAAGGCTCCCATGTACTAAAAAGCTCTAAGACTATGCTCACTGCAGGGTACTGTGCTCATACTCAGCTTTCATGTGGTGGTGCACTGCTCTTTATCCTTTAACAAACATCCTTGTTCAGAGAGGGAGCGTCAATCAAGTTTCTGGTTGCTCAGTTTTTTTGTGGATGGCTCCTTTTTTATTAACAAGATGTATAAACAGGAATTTTATTGTTTTTTTAACTGACTGTCCAAAACTTTATGGCCAGTTGGCAACCCTGAGTTGCACCTTCATAGAATCCAATGAAGTGAGCACTTGCTCATGAAAGTTTATGCATCTCTGGTTCAGGTAGTCTATGAATGTGCATGTTGCATTTGTTCAAGGGTATTCAGAAAAACTGACTTCAGCCACAAGTGTGAGAAAGAGTGCTTCCAGGATGGCAAGCCCAAAATATATTTGTTGCCATTAGCAGATTCAACAAAAAGTAACTTTAAATTTGCATGTGCACATTCACATATCTCACAGTGCATCTCTACCCTATGTACAGTGCTAAATAAGTACAGCTGGTTACAGTTACACAGTTAGTTAATGCCAGCTATCACTATTATACCTAATCTAGAAATACTGTACATGTAAAAAAAAAAAAAAAAAAAAAAAAAAAAAAGGGGTTTCAAATTTTTTAAGCTTTTGGGG